CTTTGTCACCCAACTAGAGAATCACAGTCTAGTCACCTAGGCTTGCTTTGAGTTTTGGGCACAATTGACATTCTTGTTTTTAGAGTAATTCATACCTAGTCATCTGTATTTTGAAACAAATTATTTGCTTTTCCTAGTAGAATGTAAACTGTGGAACTCCTGGAACTCCTCTGAACAGTCATTTTGTACACATGAGAGATAAAAGTGTTTGGAAGACAATAGCCTATTCTTCTGTAACTAATTTTGAGTAGAAGGCAGGGAAGATGAAAGGTTCTGAGTTGATGCTAGAGCAGAACTTGTGCCATGATGGGGAAACTCACCTCAACTCACCAGGGAAAGATCTCACCATTTTCCCTCTCCGCCCTTGACCCATTTCTGCATATTTTAGTCCTCCATCCAAGGGATTCCTGATAGAATGTATCTGGGCCCTGGATGTAGGCAGGTAATATAAATAGAAAAGTAAGATTTGAGAAATTACAGCCTTAAGGGAAGCAAAAGTAAAATTTTACTATATTTTTATCACCACCCAGAAAAGATTGCACAGAGGGTAAAGAAATAGATTCATGTAATTCAAATTATATGCAGCTAAATTTGTAGGTACCTCAGAAAGGTGGACATGTCCATCTGTGAATATACCCACGTGGATGCTAAAAATGTAAGTCAGGTATTTTATTTCACTTGCTGGTCTCCTCTCTTCAGTTCTACATGAGGATGTCAATCCAATTCTCTGTACATCAGATTCCCTTTTTCTTAAAAGATGTGGACTTTCTGCACAGTTACTTTATTCAAAATCTCCATCATGGTGACTTTGGGCTGGATTTGCATCCAGATGATCTAAATAAATCTCACAGCTTCTTCACCTGTGACATTCTCTACAATGTACCTGAGGTGGAATCCTCCGTATCTGATTAAAGAGCTCTAGGTTCTGTGCTGTGTGAATGGAGCACCTTCTGTCTCAGGCCTTTCCCCAATAACGATCATGTGTTTCTCTGGCTGATGTTAGGATGCAGTGTGAAATTGAGAATTATGGGTTATATCATCTTTAAATACAGTTGGATAAAGCATTTGTTTTTATCAGTTTATATAAGATAGGCAGATTTTAGGATATCTACACCTGGCAAATTTGGATATATGATGTCTCAATTTTATGTAAAATGTTTTAATTCCTATAGATAAATCCTTCATAAAATTCTTGAAGACTTAATGTACTAATTGATCCCAATCCCATCATAGACAAATAAAAAGTTACCCCAATGTAGCCACAATGGCAGGACTCTAGACACTGATTTTCTTCCTCTGCACAGCCACCCTGCTTCAGTTTCCTTCTGGAATCTTCTTGTCCCCCTGAACTGTTCTTGCTGGAACCGCCTGGGTATTACCTTCCTATTTATGACCATGGTCGCCATGTTGGAGGCTCATCTAGCAATGCTGTTTCCTCTGTCCATTGGCCAGTGGCTGTCGTGGAACCCAGATTAGTCTATCCTATCACAATGTCAGTCCTTCTACATGGATGTCCAGTAAGCACTGAGCATCATCTGTCACTTGGGAGAAAGGTCTACCAGCTTTACTTTCAAACTACAGCCAGGTTCTGACCCTGTCTCAGCAGCCGTTGCCTATGTCCTTGTCATCTGACTGCTTTCCACCCCACCTCCCTGTGTCTCACAAAGCAGCCTCTTGACGGATTTGAAAGCAAAGTAGCTCGTGTCACTTTCTAAGCAGAGCCCTGGTCTGCTTCAGAGAAATGCCAGCTCCCTTGCATCGACCTTTGAAGCCAGGCTGGACCTCCCCTCAATAAACAGTCTGCAGCTAACTCCTTGACCTCTAGCTTCACCCTCGCTTCCCACCACACTGGCTTAGGGCATTTGTCCTTGCTGGATTTTCCCCAAGCCTCTGAAGTCCATCTTTGTAGACCCCTTCCAAATGCTGCCTTCTGACCACCTGTCGCAGTGGCCACAGTCCTGCACAAGTAGTAGGGCAGCCTAGCTCTCATTGTGCTTGATTTTATCCACATTCGCCCTCCTCCCACATGGCCATCTGCTTTTACATCGTGCTGCAGGTTCCACTTCATCTTTTCAAGCACAGCGTGTACTCTACGAGCACAGATATTTCTGTTTTGTTTATTATCTCTTCTGGCACCCAGAACAGTGCAGATTCTCAGTTATTATTTGTTGGGTAAATTAATTTTATGTTTAATGATACTTTCTTTCACAGTGAATGTAGTGAATGCAATTTTAAGATGTGGAAATTTCGTGGAAAGTTATTAAAATATCCTAGAAAGCACTTGAAAAATTCTATCGTGCTGCCTTTTTATGTAGCTCCTCCCCTTTTGTTTGTTGGAGAGATGGCCTGTTCCTTTCAAATATTTAACTGGAGTGATGATGAGGACAGTCACCTCCTTCATAAATTACCTAATTCTTGTGCAAATATTATTTGGGAAGGGCCTTTTAAGAAACACGATTGTAACGTTCACTCTAATGAGAAAACATTATTGCAGGTACGAGTTATTTCATGGTAATTCATTTTATCTGCATCAAAGCAAGTGTTTGGTACACATGTGTGCCGAACCTCTCAGAGAGACTGCAAAGGATCATGGAGAAAAGACAACGGAGCGCATTGATGATGGGATGAGTTCCCGCTGGTAAGACGTTGTCTGAAGTCCTCCAGGGGCCAAGTCATCGCAGCATTCAGCTGCCAGGAATTAGGGACAACTACTGCCCTTTTGACGTATGAGGGCATGAAAACAGTGAAGTAGAGAAAGGCGTGGATCTATTAGGTTTCTCCAGACAGACAGCACTAGTAGTGAGTTTACACATGCAAAGATGTAGGAAAACAGTCCTTATGAGAATTGCTTCACGCAATTGTGGAGGCTGAAAAGCGCCACAATCTGCCATCAGCAGCCACCTGAAGACCCAGAACAGTTTGTGGTATAATGATTTCTGAGTCTGAAGGCCTAAGAACCAGGAGCTCCAATGTCCAAGGGCAGAAGATAGACACTCCAGCTCAGGCAGAGAATGTGCTGCTTCTTTGTTCTAGTCAAGTCTTCTAGGAATTGGATGACATCCCCCATGGAGGAGACAGATCTTCTTTACTTGATGTTAAACTCTCCCAGAACCTGCCTCAGACACTCCCAGCATCACATTTCCAGCTGCTTGGGCATCACTTAACCCAGAAAAGTGACAGTTGAAATTTAGTGACAGAGGAGGACCTGCTTGGAGGGGGCAGCCTGGTTCTGGAGCTTGTGCTGCTGATGCACCAGGGTCATGGATGAGGAGTTTGGGGAATAGAAAGATATCCAAACACCTGGCCACTTACTAGGATGCAGGACTGTCTGTTTGAATGCAAGTGATGTCATGTTTCCTCTCTTACTTTTGAATCCCTTTCAGTTCAATTCTTCCATTCATAAGTTTGCTACTTAAGATAGGAAATGAAAGCAAAATACCAGTAAGAGCATATCAATATTCTCCCCTTGATGCTTGCAAAATTAGGACATATTCAGTTTATTCCAATTTGTACATTGCCAACATCGTATGTGTTAAGTTCCTGTTAACTACCATAAGCAGCCGATGCTTTATGTGTTTAGTATATATTTGGCATTTTCAAGTATATTCCACAAAGGGAATAATTACAAATGCCTATCTATATGATGAGTTTCATCATTATTTTCATTTTCAGAAGAAGACAAATGTAAACATACAGGTAACTGGCTTGACAAAGTCAGAACCAGTGGGGAGGAGTGCAGGGCTGGCATTTGAACTCATAGTCTTCGGGCATCAGAGCAGGAGCACTTAAACTCTCCTATGGCGAGAAACTGTAGGCTTCATTTTCCTGTGCCTGATTTATTTCACTTAACATAATGTCCTTAGACTCATCCATGTTGCCTAAGAATGGTGGCAGGACACCATTCTTTTATGACTGACAGTATTCCACCGTGTACAGGTGCCATATTTCCTTTATCCACTCATCTGTCAGTGAATACCTTGCTTGTTTGCATATCCTGGCTACCATGACTGCTTCTCCAATAACTGTGGAAGTGCAAGCTCTCTCTTTGACTTGCAGATACCCTTTCCTTTGCTAGAGACCCAATGCTAGAATTGCTGGATCCTATGGTACTTGTACTTCTGGCTTTTTAGGAATCTCCATATCATTTTCCACAATGGTCATACTCGTTTACAGTCCCATCTCAGTGTGTGACTCCTCTGGCTCCACTCCTTGCCATCATTGGAAACCAAAGAGTTGCTGTCATAGAAACACAGAGTAGAATAGTGGCTATCATTGCCTACCCAGGGTGTAGTTGGAGAAGAATAATGACTCCTGATGTTCTATGATATAGTAGGATAACTGTGGTTGGCAATAATTAATTGAATATTTCAAAATAGCCAGCAGGGAAGATATTGAATGTTCCCTATCCAAAGAAAGGATAAATGTGTGAAGTTATGGGTGAAGTAATTACTCTGATCTGATCTTTATACACTGTATACAAGTCTTGCAACCATACCATACTCTATAAATGTGTACAATTATGTGTCATTTAAAAGTAATATACTGAAAATCTTAAAAGCAAAAAAATACCATTGAGACACCCTGTCACTGCTTCTCTATTGCAATTATTATGTATAACCTTACTTTCCTTCCCTCAAACATGACTGTCTGAGTTAATTTTGAAGAAACATGCTTGTTTAAAGGAATTTAAACTCACCAAGGCACTGCTGAGAAATCAGAAGTTCTGGAGAGTGGGAGCAGGCACTGTGTACCTAGTTCTGCAGGCTTCTTAATTTGGGTTCTGGTTCCCTGCTGTGCAGTAGGTGTTCAAGGTTGAGCCTGGGACCGACTCCTGCCTGCGAACTGGCGTGTTGTAAGTGCAAGTAAAAAAAGTCTAAGCTTTGTTTTTTCATGAACATGAGATTTTATCTTGTTATTCCTTGTGCAAATTTGATGTCATTCTAAAGGTACTTTCACCGAGCAGTTCTTGTGACACTTCAACTAATCTCTGTTATTTCCAGCTCTATGTGGAGGTTACATCCATGGTAAGAGTGGGACGGTTCTTTCTCCTGGGTTTCCAGACTTTTATCCAAACTCTCTAAACTGTACCTGGACCATCGAAGTATCTCACGGAAAAGGTAAGTGTGGCGCGGGTGCAGATATACAGAGTAAAAAAGGAGGAAATGTGTGAGAATGAAGAGAACACAAATGTATAACAAGAAAGACAACTAACTTCCTCGTAGGAATATCATGCTTTTACTTCTTTATTTTCAATAAGAGTCTGGAAGAAAAAGAGTCTACATAATTGAAGCAAAATTACATTCCTTTTTGCTATTCTATCAGATAACGTGGTCATATATATAGATGGCATATATATGACTATGAACTTGGAAGTTAAAACAAGAAAATTAAAAAATAAACTAAAAATTAGGTGAAATATTAAGGAATAGTGGCGTTGATTAGATAAGATATAGGTATTGATTAAATAAAAAGAAATAAGCAATTATCTATCTAAACTTTTAATCTCTATTACAAATCTGTGAAAGGTTTTGGGCTTGCCTTAGGTTTTAAGTTTACCCAGAATTACCTCACGTAATGAACCACTGATATTCACATTACCAATGATATCTTACCAAATAGATAACCTTATCCTCATAGTACAGGCAAGTATTGTGACGATAGGGACCATTTACACTTGTGCAGGATGTTAGATAAGATGTGGTGCAGACCTATAATCCCAGCTCTAGGGAAGCTTGTGAGTTTGAGACCAGCCTGGACTCCATAGAGAGTTCCAGTCCAGCCTAGACTACAGAAAGATACCCCATCTGAAAAAAATAAACATTGGGTTTAGGGATGTACCTTGGATTTTTTTCTTTAGCCTTCTCATTTTCAAGGAAGCTATTTGGAATTTTGACCATGGAAATATTATGTAGACTGTCTATCAACAAGTTGATGTCCCTCAACCATGAAAATGCTGACAATTGGGCAGCGTTCCTTTCAAAAGCTTACTCAGTTCACCATGCTTAACAAGGTGCAAGACCCTCTTGCTTGTAACATTAATCCTTCTCTTACAAGAGCTGCAGTGCTTCTCCTACTCATTGAATGGGGTGATTCAGCACAAAAGTGATGTTGCTCATCCAGGAAAACAGTGAGAAGTAGGCAGAATTCCTTTAACGAGCAAACATGCATTTGAACTCAACTTGATGTTAAATTGACGAGCTATATCTGCAGGTGGTTCTGATCTATATCAGCACATGTCTATCCATGCCTTCATCTCTTCCTACATGCTTCAGCATTTCTTTTTAAAACGTTGATGTCTAAAAGCCCAGAAGAAATTATTTTTCTGAAATATTTAGATGAACTAATATCTCTCTCTCCCACCTCCTCTCCTCTCCCCTCCCCTCCTTTCCTCTTTTCCTTCCTCCTCCTCCTCCTCCTCCTCCTTCTTCTTTTTCCTCTCCCCCTCTATTCTCCCCTCTCCTTCCTCTCCTCCTTTTCCCCTCCTTTCCTCATTTCTCCTCCTCCTTCCCTCCCTCCCTGCCTCCATTCCTCAGGAGTCCAGATGATCTTTCACACCTTTCACCTGGAGAGTTCCCATGACTACTTACTGATCGCAGAGGATGGAAGCTTTACTGAGCCAGTGGCCAGGCTCACTGGGTCTGTGCTGCCTCACACCATCAAGGCTGGATTATTTGGAAACTTCACTGCTCAGCTTCGCTTCATATCAGACTTTTCCATTTCCTATGAGGGCTTCAACATCACCTTTTCAGGTACGTTGGTTGTTTTTGCTATCTCTCTGGCAAGCAGTAATCCTGTCATCTCTCTTGTTCTCCCTCCTTCCCTCACTTCCTCTCTCGCACTCTCTGAACCCCTGGGGCGCATGAGGCCCAGAATGTCACTTTGCTTTTCATTACTTATAAATTCTCCTCCCTGAGGAATTGTAAATAAAACCACATTTCCCAAAAACAACGTGAGGCTAACTTATCCCCACCAACTCCATCAACCTGTAGGAAACTCCCTCACTGAGAGGCGTGCTCAAGATCGGTTGTTGTCTGATGATGTCGGTCATTGGTCCCCACTCTGGTAAACACCACTTTTATAGAGAACCACTCAGGATGGAAAGCACATAAACACCCACAGATGAGCACAGGCTTTTAGTTCCTTTAATATGTCCTACGCAGGGACAAAGCGGTACTCCATCCACAGCGAGGTCACATTTCTAAGTAATACTCAGGTAATATTTGTGTAGGATTTATGTTGCATCAGACATTATTTGCATGGGTGAGATTGTTAGGTTGTATAATTTTATGACATGGTCAGTAATATATTTTGACAGATGAGAAAAAAATAGCTGGCCAAGCATTCACAAGGTAAGTTTGATCACGCGGTCAACCAGTGCTTGGTGGGCATAGAAGGGTCAGGACCTCTGCAGTCTCTTCATAAGTGCATTTCCCCACACACCACCAACAGAAATGAACTCTGCCACTCTCAATGGGTGAAAACAGTTACATCAGTCTGTGTTTGTGTGTATGATCCCAGACAAAACTGTTTTCCCTGTCATCATTCATAGCACAGATACAATTTAATGCTAGAAGATGGTCTGTGAACACAACAATCACCTTTGACCTCTTCTATTTTTAAGGTCGCATAAATTCTAACAATTAATAATTTAATTCCTTAGTAGCTTCCAGTGGCCCTTGTGGGATTAGATTTTGCAATGTTTCAGTATTCATCTTAGCTCCTGTACTAATTAAAATTCTTGGTAGGAGGGCTTCCATTTGCTCCTATTTCTTAGAATCAGCAGTTCTATTCCTTTGTCCTAGACATAATTATTACTATATTATATAAAATGACGCACTATCTTTAACAATATTTGTTAAGTGTTTTTCTCTAATTCTGATCAGTTCCATTTATCTGAGACTGACTGTTGATTTTTTTCCTGCTCTTTCCCTGCCTGAGTGGAGCTTCTGGGACTGACTAGGATGCCTCAATTTCTTGGAAATTTACCATAATCAGAGTAATCATGAAATTGGCCACTTTATATATCAAAGACAAATCTTCTTATCACTAATACCTAAATATCTCCCTGCGTATGTGCTCGTCTGGTGGATCTCAATTACTGTCACTATTACCCCCCTCTCTGAGAACTTTCATCTGATCCAAAATGAGTTTAAATAGAGCACTCCACAGGGAGGGCTGCCAGTCTGTGGGTGCCCTCCATGAACGTTTTTTATCCATGTGTTTATTTGTTTTGCCTCATCTCTTTCTCAAAGCTGTTGCTGTCAGTACATGGCTAGCGTTAAGTCTTTGCATTTTACCATCTTAGTCTGATTGTGCTGCTCTAACAGCGTACCCAAGATGGGGTGATCAATAAAATACAGCAATGTGTTACTCACAGTTCTGGTGGCTAAGAAATCCCAGGTCAAAGTGCTAGCAGCTGGTGAGGCCTTCATGCTGCACCATTATATGGGTGAAGGCTTAAGGACAAATGCTGTGTCCTTGCATGGCAGAAGAGCAGAAGAACAGACCCCACACCAAGCCCTTTTGCAAGTGTATGAAAGGCACCCATGGTCTGATCACCTCCCAATACCCCACAAGGAGGATTAAGTTTCCAAGGTATGAATTTAGGGACAACATATCTAGACCTTAGTAGTATTGAAATCTGAGTTAAAAATTCAGGAAAGAAATTCAAAGCTGACTTACCCTTTCAAAAACTCCTTTATGCAAGAAAGCAAACGAGCAGACAAGAACAATAAGAAAGCGCTCTGCCTGGGTTTCCCAGGCTCTTTGAAACAGTTTATAAACTATTTCGGGATGTTGAGATCTAAGCATGACAGTTTGTGAACACTTAGTTCATTTCCACACAACCCATGGAAAATTAGACCTCAAGCTTGAATAGGAAGCCACTCCCATCAGGCAGTGTCGTGAGCTCTTAAAAGCAAAAAAACACACCTTTGATTGCAAAGCCATCTTCAAGGAAGAGAAACTCTCTACAGAAATAATTCCGTTTGGAAGGTCTTTGCCTTCAAACCAAGTGGCAAACAAGGGAATGTACTGATGTCAATTTTTTAAGTATTTAAGTAAGTAGCAACTTTATTATCCAAATAAATCCCTCAGGGGACTTTCCTGAAGTTTAGCACACCTGACCTCCATATGCTTTCATATCTGCCGTCTTTACCTGTCAGTCCTGTCTGCTCCTGTGTTCATGGGGGTTTCTGAAAGCAGCGGCATCTCCCTATCATGTCCCAGTCAGTCCTCCTGTGGAGGTCAATGGGATTATTGTGAAAAGACATTCAAACACATGTACCCAGAACCTTCATCCCTCCACTCCGTTATCCAGTGTCAGCTCTGACACTGACGGTGTACACTATATGCGTTCCCCAATCGTCCTTGTGTTGACTTCTGTAATGACAGCGTTCAGCCCCTTGCCACAAGTTCCCATTATCTTCAAGGGGAATCAAGGGTTTGAAGCCAGCCTGGGCTACATAGTGAGTTCCAGGCCACTGAGCTACATAGTGAGACCCTGTTGGAAAAGGAAGGAAGGAAGGAAAGAAGGAAGGGAGGGAGGGAAGGAAAGGAGAAGAGTAAGGAAGGGAGGGAGGGAAAGAAGGAAGGAAAGAAGGAAAGAAAGTAAGTTAGGGGGTGAGTATGATGGTTTGAAATTGGTTCGACCTTTTGATATTTCAGAGGTAAGGACAGAAGTCAGCCAACTGGAAAGAGGTGTAGTGAGTGAGGAGGAACCAATACCTTTGGAGCTGAGAACCCAAAGCCTCTTCAAGAGGAGATAGCTCCATGGAGTCAATCCTTATTGAGAGGCTGAGTCAGGAGAAGGGGCTGAGTTCAGTTGTTGGATTTGTCATCTGGGGGCCACAGGGGTTTGTGTTGGAACTGTCTGTGCAGAGGCATGGAGGAAAACCCTGCACAGAAGAGGTGAAGGGACACCAGGAGAAGATGGGGCATGAAGGGATATACCCAGCCCTTCCAAGAGGGAGTGCCAGAAGTGACCAGGAAAATGACATGCTGGCTGGGTGAGTGTGAAGTTGAGAGTGATCTTGTTAGTTTACTTGTTAGTGGACTTGTTAGCTTGTTTGGCTGTTTAGCTCATTCATAAAATGGGCCTGTGGCACACTTTCATGGTGATGTGGGAAAGGCAAGATAGTGAAGATAAAGAAAAAGATAAGCTTTCCAGTTGGAGGAAAGAGGATCCTGGGACATTTCTCTGTGAGCAAAATGGGAATGTACACATTGCAAAATGACATCACAAAACAGTGAATGAGTGACAAGTAATGAAGGTCTGTGAAAATCAAACACACCTTTTAATCTCAGCGTTATTGTACCAGGCTTTTTTCTTATCCTGCAGGCACAGAACACATCATTTAAACTACCACATAAAAATACATACAAAACAATAAACCAGAGATTGCAGTGTTTGTGTGTAATGCAGTAGCTATAAATGTGAAGGAATATCAATTGTTTCTTATTTAATAAGAGTTCTCAGTTTTTGTAAAGAAATATCAGAAAGGTCTGACTCTGTTTGAAAGTATAACAGTGTGTTCCTAGCTAGAAGGAGAATGGAGGTAAGATAAAGTTTGCTGAATTGCAATATCTATATTTTAGTATTTCCTCTTGTTTCTATCCATGTGTTTTGTATATAATGGATCTTCAATAAGTATTTGTTGGATTCATTACATGGCATTATTTCTATTTTTTCTTTCTCAATAATATTAAAATAAGGTCAAGTTAATAAGTATATTTCCAGAATGGTGAGGGCAGCTTGGATATATGGGAGACCCAGGGTAGACTTTTTCCCTGAATAAGGACCAGGACATAGGCAATCCTGAGATCCCAGACCTTAGAAGCTACCTAGTCATCCATGTGACCGAAGGGAGAAACACGGGGCGAGCCTTCCCTTCCATGTGGGATTTTGAAGAGATGACAATGAATAATCAGAAAATAAAAATATGAAAGGAGATGGGATTTGTAAAATACTGAAGAAATGAATGAGGCCTTAGATTTTAAATGAGGCCTTAGACTGAGCACTTTCAATCTAAAATTTAAGTTAGAACTCAAAAGATGTTGTTTGAATCCAGAAGTGGAGGTGAGGTGATGTTTTCTTAAGAAGATTAGCCTGGTTCCTCCATTACCCACCTACCCTCACCACACACAACCTAGAAGACTGACCTGTATGTTCCCAATACTTTGCAATCATGCCCACTTTGATTGACCCTTCAAAGTCGTCCTCAGAGCTCGTCCACCATCTTACACCCTGTGATACCTCCTGGCCTGTGGCCTGCTGCTGACATGATTGGGGAAATCTAGACTAAGGAACAGCAAGAAGGATGGAACTGGGAAAGAGGCACTTTCGACTTCCTGCAATCAGAAGCATGGGACTCACAGACCAATGATAACTGGTGGCTCTCTGCCACACACTGTGGTCCCAGCGTGGACTGTGAAGAATGAGATGGGTACAAAGGGCTGTTGGTGCTCCCAATATTCTGAAACCTTGCTTTCAAGACACAGCAATGACTGAGTGTCATTTCTGCTTTTAAAAAAACTGCATTTAGTGCTTTCTTCTTGAGTGGTGTGTAGAAATGTCTAGTTTATGAAACATTTTTTATTTATTCTCAGTAAGAACATGGTTTATCCATTGAAAATAGTTGTTACTCCACACTGAAGTATGTGTCAGAGGTGAACTTGACTGTAATAAGCTTTCCACAAACATGACACTTGTCACTGCTTTTGTCTTTTACCCAAAGTCTTAGGTATAAGAAAGACCTGTCAGAGAAATGAAAGAACTGATTTTAGCAATTGGAAATAGCAAATCTATTTCATCCTCTCCAAGGGATAATGTTGACATGGCCTACCTCATTTTCCTATGTCACGCTTATATGTCTACATTGTAAAATATTAGAGTGTGTAAACGTCACCTATCATGATACAAAGGACAGCATGCCACAGAATGGAGTTTGCACATATCCATGGTAAAATTCTTCAATATTAGTACATTTTGAACCCTTGCTGACCACCTGCTCACTGTGTCCCCTCTTGCCACAGAATATGACCTGGAGCCCTGTGATGACCCTGGTGTCCCTGCCTTCAGCCGCAGGATCGGGTTCCGCTTTGCTGTGGGCGACTCTCTGGCCTTCTCCTGCTTCCCGGGGTACCGCCTAGAGGGTGCGACCGAGCTTACGTGCCTGGGTGGGGGCCGCCGTGTGTGGAGTGCACCTCTGCCAAGGTGTGTGGGTAGGTGGTCACACGCTTTCATTTCATTCATCCATAGGGACAGGGCAGTGGGTCTACAGGCAGTAGGCACTGCAGGAGGCTGGACCAAGGTGGGAGTCAAGGCTGGACCAGGGCAAAGGCCAAGAGAAACCAGGATGGGGGCAGAGTCCGGGGCTGGAAAAAGGTGGGGGCTGAGGCTGGACCAGGGAAGGGGTGAGGCTGGACTAGGACAGAGCCCAGACTGGACCAGACTGGGGGGGGGGCAAGGTTGGACCAGGACAGGGATGAGGATGGACAAGGGCAGGGGTTGAGGCCAGACACACCTATGGTGCAAGGGTCCTGATTTATCTCATCAATAAAGTATGTCTTGTCCAGTTCTGAAGGTCTGTGCTCAAGTGAAACTAGAGCATGTATCAGGTATGTCTATGAAGAGAAAATATACATGCATGTAATATAAATAATTTGGAGAAAAGCAAAATAGAATGAATAACACAGCCTCTTAGCATTGGAGTGGGTGCGAAGCACTCTGCAGGACTGGCTCTCAAGAAAGGGTCCAAATGCAAGATGAAACAGAGCTGCTGCTTTAAACCGTCAGGTCCTTGGACCGCTGGAGAACCATTGCTCTTAAGATAATGGCAGAGGCTGTGTTCTTGAGGGGCTCCGAAGATGGTTCGTAAGTCTAGCAGGAATTTGTCAGGTGCTTAGAAAAGTGGTGCTGAGTGCCTGCAGGCCTCGGTGCTGCTCAGAGAGCCAGATGTGCCACCCTCAGGACTCTGCACTGCCTTAAGTCTGGCAGAGAATCCTAGCCCCCCTGATCTCAGTATCTGCTGTCTGTGCAGCCCGAGGCCTGGTCCTGGGCCCCAGAGACAAGTGCTGGCACCTGCCTCCCCAGCCACGCTGCTCAGCACACACGTCACCTTTGCGTTCTGTTCTTCAAACTTCCCCTTCAAACTGTTCCGTAAACTGCTGCTGACATGGCCGGGATAAATGTGTGGCTGATGAACCATAGCTCAACCTAAGGCCAAGCCTTCTGTGTCCATGGGGAGTCAGTCCATGGTGTACCACACTAACGTCACCAGTTGACAAACCAGAGCAGGCGAGGAGGACCAGGGAAGAGCATGTACCTATGTAAATTAATACTTTGATCAGCTTCACAGTGTGCTCAAAGGTTGCACAATAATCCCTTCCCACACAATTTAATAGGGATAGCCCCACACCTTAACTTGCAGACGTTATATGCAGAGCCTTCTTGCTGTGAAATGTGAGGTGTGGTGCAGCCCCCATCTTGTTTGGCAGATGAGTTTCTGCAGTCATAGAATTCAAGTCCAGTTCAAGTATCAAACACGCAGATTGCAAGGGTATTCTTCTTACCTGTTCTTTTATAATCAAATGCGTAATGCATCAATATTCCCAACACAATGACCTTTCTTAATATTAATACTTGTTAATTTGTATGGGTCCTATGGTTAGTGCTTGGATACTGGGCTTCCCAGCCTGTGCCTCGTGACAACTGTGAGTCCCTGGCTTCAGATGTAGCAGGTGCTGTTCTATGCAGAAGACCATGAGGAAGAGGAAGAGGAAGAGGAGGAGGACATGTCACAGGTTGATGTCAGCCCGTCTACAGAAGAATTAACCAAAAAAATCAATTCACTCCTTTCTAGCACAGTTAATTTAATTTTAATTAGTTTTGTGCCATTGCAAAACTCTTAGTAACAATTCAGTTTTAATTACAATTTCGGTAGATTCTTTATAAAGGTACAAATGATTCATTTTAAGGAAAATTATATTCATTTACCTTAGAGAGTAAATGGATTATTGAAAGAACTTAAAAAGCAAAACATTTAATCGCTCTGGTAATGAAGAATTACAATGGATCCTTTGAATCAAGTTCAAAGAACTTCTGACATTTTGATCACTTAAATTTTGTAGTTTTCTGAGCTCCTATTTTTAATGTCAGTGCTTTATTTTCTTTAATTATTTCCTCCAGGATGGAGTCCCAGGGATTCATGAACCTCTCTTGGGTTCTGACTCTTCTGAGTCTCATTGGTGTTATGTTCATTTTTGCACACTAACTGGAAAGCAAGGTGGAGGTTAGACTTGCCTCACTAAAGTACACCATGTTTCCTTAAGGGATACTTTGTGAAATAACAAAAAGCAGTCGCAGGTGTGCTTCCTCTAGGAGCATCACTGTCCCCTCCTTTTGAAGGCACAAACTAACACGGAGTCACAGCCAAGTAGCCCTCATCTATTGTTTATGGTTAATATCTGCAGAGAAAATCAATGATTAATACTGTGTATTAATACAGTATTATTAATGGTGATAGCTAAGTCTGACACCAAACTGGGTGGAGACACTCCTGGCTCTGCCACTCACCTGTGTGTGACCTTGAACAAATTAACTGACCCCACTGTGTGTCAGTTGCTTCATTCAAAAGTTTAGGATTGTGTCTGCCTCACAGAGTTTTATATTTATTTAATAATATTTTAAAATATGTTTGACATGAGTGACACAAAGATCAAAAGAAAAATAAATTGCTGTACCCAATTGGGCAATTTAGGATGCATTTTATTTGCCTTACAATTTCTTATTTGAAACTTCTAGGGTATTTTGCCAATCTTGGAATTCTAGAACTTACTTCAGAAGTCCTTCCGCACAACATCTATACTCTGCGTGTTTTCCTTTACAGTCTTTGAGATTCAGTTGTTTTCTTTTAGGGCATTTCCTCTTTCCCAAAACCCTTTCCTTTCAGGGCAAGCTCACTTAGTGATGCCCCACCATAGCTGAAGGAAGCCCACACCTCCCCCATGGTCTGGCCCAGTCTGCATTTGCAACCAGGTCTCCATGGTCCCTTGCTTGATGCTGTGCTCTGCCCTGTGAGCTCCAAACTCAACCCACAAACACAACCTATTTGCCTCACACCTGGAACTCTGGCCCAGTCCTCCATCTGTCCCCGAAGCACCATCTCTCCAAGGCCTAGAGTGGCAGCCCAGCTACAATGCCACATTGAGTACTGAGTGGCAGAGGCCCTCGGCGTACTGTGTGGATGCATTTCAGCCTTTCGATTAGCCTATTTTGTTACTGACTTCCATGCAGGATCAGAAAACAGAGATGGCTCAACCAGCAAAACCCCTTGTTCCTTCCTATTATTGCTTATACTCTCTCTACAACAAAATTAGAAATAAGGGCAAAATAGTTTCTGCTGGGTATTGAGGGGGGGGAGCGGGAGGGGGCGGAGCAGGTGGTAAGGGAGGGGGTGGGGGCAGGGGGGAGAAATGAACCAAGCCTTGTATGCACATATGAATAATAAAAGAAAAAAAAAAAGAAAATAGAGATGGCAAAACCCATGCATCCTCAATACCAATCATAAGCTCTCATTAACTGGTGAACTATTCCAACCAAAAGTTCTTAAAAACACACTACTCTCAAAAATGGACCCATTGTTATCCATTTCATTACTATTAGTTATGAACACAATATTCAGCACCACTTAGGATATAAAAGGGCTAGCATTCTGTTCCTGCACACCTACAGTTTGTATCAAATCAATAACCTGTATTAGCTGCGTGACTTTGAGAAAGACACTTGTGTTTTAAATTATTCTGTCTCAGTTCCCTTGTCTACAGATGAAGTTTATTTCGCTGTCACATACAGCCACTGTGAGGATTAATAACTGAATGAAGGTAGAGAACTTAGAAGAGTGTGACATGAAATATCATTATTGTAGTTCACACATCAGCCTTATTAGAAGAGATTCAATCTACTTTTAAAATGTGAAACTCTTAAGTCTGTCAAAAGCCTCTGTGTGACAAGTTTGTCGAGGAGGAAAGAAAAACAAACCAACCAACCAAAAGCTAGTAGGGTGTAGGCCAAACAGAGGCCATCCACCATATCTAGAGTAAGACAACAAACCCAGACCCCAGCAGGCAGAGGTTGTGTGTGCATGTGGTGTGTGTGTGTGTGTGTGTGTAGTGGGGTAGTGACTTCACTGTTTTCCGATAGTTTCTTTGTAGAATTTTGGAGCTGAAAGAGTTCTTGACTAAAGCTGTTCACTTTCACAGATGAGAAAGCAGCTGCAAAGGACTTGGTGACTTTCTCAGGGTTGACAGAATGTAGAGTTAGAGTTATTTTCACTTTTACCTTGATTAAAGGTGTTTTGTTTCATGAAAATTTGCATCTAGAAGTCAGTTGCCCTCTTCCTTTATTGAGAAAAGAGAAGAAGAATACATTGAATGCCACTGAATGCCACCTACCCTGAGATGAAGTCTGAGCGAATTCAGCACTGTGACAGTAGCAAAGCATACAGTGGCTTTAGCTGTCCTCAGATTCCCCTTTCAGTGCATCCTTACTGATGCCACAAAACACAAGTGTGGGAAGATTGCATTAATATAGCAATGTCATGGGCACGTGGAAGTGCAACAGACACTTCATGAGGAAGAAATGACACTTGGACAAGTGATGTGACCACCCAGTGGTGCAGCCACACAGCCAGGGTGCTCAGAGCTTGTCTATTTGATTCTAGAACTCTATGCAATGGTGTATTGCCCCCATACAGTAAAGGGGGCACCAATTTTCCCTGAAGTATTTTTGCAATACACCATTGCAAAAGTACTTCAGGGAAAATTGAAAATGTGGTGGCCGGGATACATTTTCTGTACAGTGATAAAAGTGGAAACGGTCACTGTCTAGTTTTAGAAGATGCATTAAAACAGGCACACATGACAGAAGAGGGGCACTCATAATGCTGAAGTGTTAGCTATTTGAATCAGGATTTCCACTTTTGAATCCTTTTTTAAATGTCCTATTTATTTTAGCTGAATGTGGAGCAAGTGTCAAAGGCAACGAGGGAACCCTCCTGTCTCCAAATTTCCCATCTAACTATGAAAATAACCATGAGTGTATCTACAAAATAGAAACAGAAGCCGGCAAAGGGATCCACCTCCAAGCCCGGAGTTTCCAGCTGTTTGAAGGGGACACTCTGAAGGTACAACTCTCTTTATCACAAGTGACTCCATCTTCACCTCTCAAGGAATCTGTCATCCGTCTGTCTGTCATCTATGAATGTTTCTGCCCATCTATCTATCTGTCTACATCTGTATATCTACCATCTATCATTAGCCATATCCCTCTCTTCTGTATGTCCATCAGCTATCTATCTGCATAGATATAGCTTATTATTATTATATCTTTACTTACACATAACTTATTCCCACCTATTTATGCAAGTGATTTGAGAGGGTGGAATGTGGTGTTACTTACTAGAGTCCGTGTGAACTTAGAAATATCCTGTATATAATCCTGGTTCTAACATCGGTAAGTCATGTGTCCTAAGTACACTTTTTCCACACCTGAATCTCAGTAGATGCTTCTAGCACAGTGCCTAGCATGTAATAGTAATTATTAAAATTTACAGGACTCAACCCAATCATTCCTGTAGTTATTCTTGATTTGTAGATGTGGTTACAGATCCAGAAGGATTTGCGTGTACTAATGGAAGGAGGTCCAGCCCCAGGCATAAGTGGAGCCTCTGCAGAGAAGGCAGGCAGAGGCTGGAATCACACCGGGAGTAGCAGGGACCCAGGCTCTGCCTTCATTTATGAATTCCTCCCTCTAAGTGGGATACCCCTTAATTCCTAAGGCATCTTGTGTAGGTACACATCTCCTCTAACTATTCTAAGAAGGTGGGGACTCTCTAAGACCTAGGTCCAGGAAAATGAGTACTGATAAACTCAGCCCAGGGCAATGGATGAGAAAGGCAGTGAGTAACAAAGGCTGGAAAAGCTGCAAGTCGTCTGGTCCAGTCACCTGCTCCTTCCAGGGAGAAGGTAAGCAATTTGCCCAAGCCCTGAATCTGATTTGTGGCAAGAGATAGCCATTTTGTTCTACAGATGTCTTTTTTCAAGTTCTGGAGTTCTTCAATTATATTTGCTTCTCCTGGACCATACAAAGACGCATCTGATTCAGTGGATTCAGCTCACGGTTATCCCTGAGTATGTACAAACAACCGTCTCAGAGGGGAGGGAAGTGGGTAACTCCCTGTTGTCACTCCTTTACACTGGGACTGGCGTGACCTCATCATTAGAAGTGAGGTGTGCGGGAAGGAGAAGTGTACAGATGAAAAGCTCCTAGATCCAAGACTGACTATTTTTCAACGTCGTAATTTAGGGTAGGTTTATTCTAGTTATTCTTTCATTTCAATAGTCTTTTGAATGCTCCTTCTGACAGCATGAAAGACTGTAATTAAGAAGCAGTTTTCAATCAGGAAACTAGTACATTCTTACTAATCTTATAAAAGTTATAAAGTTAGGTCATCAGTAAAAATTTTCTAAATTCTTTGATAACCTCAAATGTAGAAGTCAGAAAGTCCTTAAGGGAAACTTTTAACTATACTATGGAGCAGATAAACGATTAGACCAAATATGCACTGATAAACATTATCAGAATGGAAGGAAGGAAATTATGTTCATTTGTCATTTTTTTTATTACAAGAAAAACCAGAAAAATATTGCCTACCACGCTTAATTTCAGGAGCTCATTGATTGTGTGCAGTGGCTGAAGGCTTTGCTGGCATGCATTTTGTTGAACGTGCTAGCGAACACCTCAGTGCTAAAGATGCTTCAAGTTACTTAACCTCTCCATCTGGGCATTCACACTGCTCCTTCACTCATACTGTGGAACGACATAAGGACTATGGTTTTATGTACACCCTCTACTTATGCACACAAACGGAGAAGGATGTAAGAAAATGTAGCTCTTGTGAAAAGAAGATCTGGTAGAAAGAGTAGGTGATCTGGGAAAAGCCCAGATCAAGCATTGCCACTCTGGGAATTCACACCCATGTGAGAGTGACTACATCCCTGTCAGCCCAAGGTGTGGATTAAACGTCAAGCTCTCAGGAGAATTTTCAATGCTCAGGAGTCAGCATTGTTTACTAGGCTTTTCCTAGTAAACGAAGGGCCATAGTGGTCCAGATGCTTTTCACCAGGAGACGCCATATAAAACTAACAGTCCATTGCTAATCCAGCTGCAATCAGAAGTCCAGACTCTGATTTGCATGCTACCTGGATGTTGTTTGTGATCAATGAAAGCTTTGAAACCACTTATTTACCTTCCTAGTGCCCACAAAGTGCTGCTCCCTATTGGCCAGCTGCACGCTCATTCTGAGGGTTCTGTGCAGAGTGCTGGTGAAGAGGACACAGGAATGGGTACAGATCACCATTCTGAGAATCCTATGATTCGTCATTGGCAATGCTCATTTTTGATGGTATAACTGAGGTCAATGAGAGCAAAGTACTGTCCCTGTGAAATGCAGAGATCCATGGACGGCTCTGCCCAGCCCTGTGAGGTCAAGAAGGTGGCAGTGTCCCATGGCTGACCACTATACTAAATGTTGTGCTCCTAGATTTAAGCCCTACTGTCTCCATGGTTTTCTGAGAACTATGGAAAATCACCTAGCATATGGTGGAGCCCAAGAACTTTCTGGGGATACCTGGACACTTTCTGTTGGAGCCAGACTCCTCAGGACTTGAAACCTTTTGCTATTCTGGATGTCAGAACCCTCATCGTCCAGTGAATCTATATTTTAAACCAAACAGTGACATTTTTGAAACACTATCTGTGATGATGGCATTTTAGCAAGGCAGTCAGGGTATTTGACTCTACTACAATTGCAATGACATGGAATAAGTCCCTGCCAATATGATCTCAGTGCACTTTCCTCTTCATGGGCATGTGTAAGGGTGCACAACTCGTGGTTTATGAAAGAATGAAAGAGAGGTAACAGGGAAAAGTCAGAGTTAATCTATGAGGAAGGCCAATGTGGGGGGCAGGAAATAAGCAGGAATTGCAAGAAGCTATGGAGGTCACTGAGGACTTTCAGTTAAGGTCCTTTTTCACCAAGAAACACCAGGCATTCCTCACTATACTGCAACACATTTTTATTCATATTTTCAAAAATCCCTTGTCCACCAAAAGGTTCTCTGCTAGTGAAGAGGCCACATGACTGGCTGTTTCCACTAAGTCTGCCACCTTGTCTGAAATGTGAGAAGTGACCACATAGATCCCTTTAGTGTGTCAAGGCTGTTTCATCAGATGAAAGTCATGATATTAGCAGAAAGAGCCCTGCGGGGACAGGGTGGCCCAGGGTGGCCCAGTGAGTTCAGGGTGTGGGGCTGGCTCCCATTCACCACCACCTTCCCTGCATGTGGCCTGTCTCTCTAAAGGTGGGACTCATACCTGACACCTCTACCTCATCCCCAAACACTGTTCGGAGCACAGTCCTGGGTCTTTCCTTCTGCATGTGGTTCCTGTACCCTCCAGCCACCAACCCCTCCCAGAGATAATGTCAGATACACAGTGCCTCGGAGCAAGGTGACCCAGCTCTCTACTCTTACCATGTGGTGCTCCAGGATTTGGCACTGCTGCCTTTTAATGCAGTCAGATACAAGGGGCAGCAGAGAATGGGATGTCCTGTCCTGCTGTTGGACAAAGGAGACCTTCCTGAAGAAACTTCGTAAATCTTTTCCACCTCCATACTGGATGATGAGGAAGAGCCTAAAAGGTAGCTTGTGGAATCTGGAAATGCACAGAAATTGTTATTTAGACAAATGCGAAGGAGCTGTCCAAGCACTGGGTGTAAAATGATCTGTCTCAAATGGAGTCGTTTGTCCAAAGCATTATTGTTACATAAAGGAAAACTTAAAGAAAATAGAGTATTTAACACTGCCATCCACCTGTCTTTCTTTAAACTGTGTAGCTTTTCAAAGGAGTGTCTGTGTCCTCAAAAGTTTGGGTTTCCTGTTAGAATTGCTGCCATAAGGGTGCAGTTATGAAATGGGGGACTCACGCTGTGAACTTTCATCAGGTTTATGATGGGAAAGACAGCTCATCGCGTCCCCTGGGAGCCTTCACTGGGAACGAGCTCATGGGGCTCACCCTCAACAGCACCTCCAACCACCTGTGGCTGGAATTCAACACCAATGGCTCCGACACGGACCAAGGCTTCGAGCTCACCTACACCAGTGAGTACACCGACTGACACATAATGTTGGTTTTTCAAATTGGCAAGGCACATCTGTTGCTTAGAGTTCGTGATAAGTTTTATGTATCAATTTTCTGAGTCGTAGTTTAATTCTGTACCATTGATAAATGACAAATTTAGACACTTGAGGAGTTGTTGTAAAGGTATTTAAAACTATTCCTATTTTAGCAATCAAATAACTAGCTTGATAAAGGGACATCCTTTGACATTTAAGAGCTCCTGGGCTAATAGTGATTGTGATATGTCTACCCTTTCAAAAACTCATGAGCATGTATGTGAGTGAGCTAGAGAGAATGTTCAGATCGATATAATTACTGGTAAAGTCTCTGAGTTGCTGAGACAGCTCATATACACAATATCAATGTATATTTATATAAATACATATATGCATATATAATCATATACACATATAAATGCACACACCAGTGCTTAACAACTGAATGCCAGAAATTCTTATGTAATCACTACTAATTTCCCAGATGAGAAAACAAGCATGTGAATTCTGAAGCTCACCCAGCATAGCCATTTTGTGAGTTGGTGCAACCAGGATTTGGGCTGCAGCTGACATTTTAAACCATAATCTACAGTGGCACCATAATGATGCAAATCTCTAGAGAGGAATAGTTTTTTTTAATATGTAAGTTAAAGCCTGGGTTTTGGCTCAAGTGGTGGGGTACATGACTAGAAAGGAGAAGGACCTGAGTTCAAACCCAAATGCCACCAAAACAAAAAAAAAGATTTTAAAAGGTATGCTTGCAAAAAGATACACTTGCAGCCTAACTACCTCATGCTATTTTTAGTTACAAAGAAAACAATCCTATTGGGTTTTGATAACTAAAGGTAATTAATCAATTAAGATGCTTAAAGTATCAAAAACTAGTCCAATCTAATCTGATGATTTAAAAACATCATGCTGACACCAAAGCATAGGGAAATTAAAAAATTCGTATTTTTAGCACAGAATTCTGTTCTCATCAGAGCTGTGACCTCTGTTTGACAGAAAAGCTGGAGAAGTAATAATCACCCCGTGGCTGTTATGCTGAGCTAATCCAGATGTGAAGAGGAAGATTAACTACCTCAAATCCCTCTTTATAGGAGAAACCACCACATAAGAACTAGAAGATTTGGGACAAAAATAGACTCAGGGTGACTGATGTCATGGGAACACCAAGTTTTTTCATTTTTGTGATGATACCTTTGGAAGGACTTGGTGCACAGACATCATGTTAACTATTTTGTAGGCATGACAAGTTAGTGACAATGGACATGATCATATCAATTTATCATTTTTCGGTATGAGAGTTATGCATTTGGGGATTTCACCATCAGAAAAGTTTCAAAGAGCTCCTGTAAACACCTTTGGCTGTGCACACAGGCGAAATGTGTGCTACAGCCTCTGCTTTCTTTTGACCACTGTCTATGTCCACACGTTCAGCAGTTTTCTTACAAGGGTGTCTGAATCCCCACTTCCTAGCTCCTACACTGGTTTTTGAGGAACACAGCTATGTGAGAAGGAAAACTAAAAGTGCTTTGGATAGCATTCCGAGTTTTGTATACATAAAAGCAATTCACTCTCCCACCTGGGGTGTTCCTTTCATCCTCTTGCCATGGAACACACTGTTGATGCCATGGCTTTCCTACTAACTGTGCCTGCTGTCATGGTTCTTCACCAAAGAGCAGAAAGCATTGGCCTAGCACCCACTTACTGCCATTTCTGATCTTTCACACTGCTCCAAACTGGAGATTGCTGAGCTCACTCTTCCCCATAGAGAAAGCACAGTTCCAGGCTTATATTTTGTTTCTCGCTGTTTTTCAACCCTAGTAACCACTTTCAGTCTCCAGATGGAGTGTTCTTGATATATGGACACTAGCTCCTGTATTCTCATGGATGTATATGGCACCCAGAGGAGATTCACACATGCTGGTATCTCAGGTGACTGGTTGCAGGATTGAGGAGGTGTCACTGAACCATTTTTCAGCATTCTGACATCTCCTATATTTTCCAAGCAGCAGTTAGGAAGGTCAGTGTGCTCCCACACCCTGGGCTGCATGGAGACTGGAGGTTGTAGGCTGACCTGCTTGTTACATCACCTGCCCTCACTAAGAAGGCTTCCCAAAGTGCCCTTCTCAGCTCCCTAGGGCCCCATTCAACTGCTGAAACTCCGTGTTTCTCCTTGACAGCCACATAGCCTTGGGACCTTGGTGCTCCCCTTACTTACTGAGGAACTTTAAGGGAAATTGAATCTGTCTATCCATTTGCAGACATTTTCCAGTTATCTGACACATTTGATTGCATAGAAGAACAAGCATTCTAAAAACAGAAGGATCAGTGGCAAGGTTTGAGTTCTCAGTACAATCCGAGAGGAGGAGTCCTCCTCATCTGTTGTACCTCATCTCTCCCTGTAGCAGCACAGACCTCCTATGTGCAAGTCCTGTTTGCAGAACTGTCTCAGAGCTGGAGCTGGAACATGTTGTCACTTAGAAAAAGGTATCTGCAATAGGAACTCATACTGTTAACCTCCCTTTTAACCTTAGGCTCAAACACTAAGTAGTTAAGCTTGAGAAATCGCAAGTTCCCACAATGCAATTGAATACCTGAATCGAACACTCGTGCCTAAAAGATGTTTGGAAATGATCATACCTACTTGCAAAAGACTTGAAATTGCCTCTTGCTAGCTAATTGCATTACTTAAGGAAATGTTCATATTTAAGTGTTTCAGATCCATAGTTAAAGTACACAAGTGGGTTAGACGGTGTCAACAGGAAGTAAATATATAGTTTAATACATGTGATAAAGTTTATAGAAATGGGTACAATACTCATGCATCCTTTAATACTTATGGCAAGCTCTGATGTAACTTCTAGGTTGATATCTTGACAATTCTGGGTCTTGGTAAACAGGTCCATTTAGTTATAAATTAGAAACTGTCACCAGATCTCTAAGTGATATGCTGAAGATTCCCACAGGAAGTGGCATGGTTGGGACACAAATCCCCATCTTCTAATGGAAGCCCAGAACTGTTGGTGAGCTTATTTTCAAGTATTTTATATGATCCCACTTTAATAGGTACCACCTGCATTGACTGACATTGTTACATGGAAAGGCATTGTCAAGGAAGCAAAAACAGGTCACTTTGGGTCAACTTGGCAGAAATGTGTTCATTGATAGGCATTTATTAAGCAACTATTGTTTTATGAGTAGCAAGTGAGACCAAAATAAAATCTTACCTCCCTCACAAAACACTGGCTTTTATTACAGATTTGTCTGTGCCCTAGAAGATGACCTCCTTCCGTTAGGTAATTGTTTGTGGAACCATTGCCCATAGCTCTTTGAGATCAGGGACATCAGGACCGCATTTTGAATCCCTCTGTACTCATGCTGATGTGTGGTTTGTAACAGGACTGATGTCCTATGTTGGGTCAGTAACCCAAGAGGGGAAGTTTGTGCCATGGTCTTTAACTTGAACTCTGAGGAGTGCTGAGTCCACCAAGCTGGCACAGGCAGGGAAGAGAAGGAGCGTCATTTAACCTAGTGGTTCTGTTTTGATTTCTTACACTGATGGCCTTTGCAAAACTCAGAAAAAAAAATTTGGATAAATACTTTTATAGAAAAATTCTGGGGTTTTATTGAAGTCCTGTATCAAATTCAAAATTCTTTTAAAAATATGTTGCCCTTCTTAGAATTTCAAAAGAATGTTCCCAAGTCAGTCCACCACAGGACTTACCAGAGAACATGACACAGGCTCTGTGTTGTGTACTCTTAGTTATTTGAATATTGAGTCACAAAACCAATTTAGCAAATTGGCCTCTTCAATTTAACAAAAAAACTCTTGCTACATGGACCTGGTTAGAGAACTGTAGTTTAAACCAGCATCTCTACTGTCCTGACAGATCAGTGAGTCACACATTACCTGAGTACTGAGTGATTAGTGCTGGACTGAGGCAGAGAAGGTCAGACGTGGTTCCTGTTCACAAGCAATGACTTGGCAGAGTCACATGTAGCGCTTAGGAAACTGGTCAGTCGAAATGCGACTATTATTTCTATATAGAACTAAAATACAATGACATACTCAACTATAGAACAGATCTGGCGATGTTTAAGGTGTCAGTCAGACTGAGTCCTACTGACTAAGGTGGTGGACCTTTGGTATAGTCCATCTTCCATTGAGTTTGACCTTTAGCATGTTGCTAGAATTTTATGCGAGGTATGTATGTTTATTTACATCATTCATCTAAGTATATATGTATGTATATTTCGATGTAATGGTAGGAGATAAAGTTTTCCAGATGACTAAAGCATCGCTGAAGGCTCAGTGGTCACAGGAGGTTTCGGCTTTGATGCTGGATGGCTTTTGTCTCATTCTTTAACATGATGTTTAAATGCTGTATGAAGGATGACCACTTCCATTCCCTAAGCAGGAACATGGCACTTTCTTCTGTATCCTAAGTGCCCCTAAATTTTGCCTCCACGTGATTCATTTTTACTAATACGATGTGTGGCTGTCATCAGGAGGGTCTTCATATGTCAAATACATAGAAACTTAAAGGACGGTCAACCAAGTTGGCCTGGATGTTGCAGGAAGGAGAGGCACTGAAATCACAGGAGCATTTCAGAAGAGACTCAGAAGATGTGGAGCGTTGAACATGGCCTTTGAGCTCAAGAGGCAAGGGGTATGAATGTCTGAGTAAAGTGGAGGGTAAGTGTCAAGGAGAGACAGAAAAACCAAGCCAGTTATGTGAGAACACAATGGTAGAGCTCTTCAGACACCGTGTGGATCAACACTGAGGTAGGCAGAGTCCCTGATAGTGTTTGAACAATGACATCACATGGTGTCTGAGATTCAGAGAAGGGAAAAGTCACAGTGGCACAACTGCCAGCTCTTAGGGGATGGCATTGTCTCCCATAGCCACCGCACTGCATCCACGCGTGATTTGAGCATAAAGCAGCAAGCCTATTTGCGGAATTTACCCTAACACACG